AATAGCGAGGATTTGGAAAAGGTAAAAAAACATACATTGCCAAACACTGCTGGGGACACACTATTGACATTATTGGCACAGACAAACATGGGGACGAGAATGACAAAGGCACAGGGTTGAGAAATGTGCTTATCCCAAGGGAATGTGGTCTCTAGAGGCAAATCAATTGACAGCAAAAGGAAACTCAGGTCCTGCTAGTGCCTAATGACAGCCGGCTTCAGATTTGTGTGCAAAGCACGAGTTGTCGTTTTTATTAATAGTACTTCAAATAAAACCAAGGTACATTCTCATACACTGAAAAATACTGTCACACAGCACTGCAGAAAATACCCAACAAAAGCTATTTCTGAGCACATTTTCTTTCGTTTAGGGAATACTAACCAACACCTGTCTACTGCACAATACTCCATGAATATTTAAAAGATTAACTGTTGCTATAACTCTTTCTTCTGCTCTAAATCACTATTACACCATAGCTGCTCTTCCCACACCTGTTCGATAAGTAGTTAGGCAGGGCTGGGGGAGTGTAATTGGAATCATTTCCTGGGTAAGTTAACAACAGAAACATTGCAATCAAGGATGGAGGAAACTAGAGAGAAGCCAGATGGATGGAGCTAATCAATGTTCAGAAACAGAACTGACCCCTGCAATATGTGTGGCGCCCATAGCAATATGCAAATCGGAAGACGTTTTCCACTCCACACGACTGCTTCAGTTTGTTTTCATCACTGGTACAGCAGATTAGTTGCTCCGTTCAAACATTGCAAGGAAAAACTCTCAATCACTTGCCTATGGAGGAAAAAAAAAACAGCTGAACAAAAACAGCAGCTGTTTATATTTGTGTGGAAAAGGAAAACAGCAGCCTTCCTACAATGGAGTTCATTGATCTATAATTGAAAATGTCAAAAAATCCTGATTGAGTCTCCTTGATGAGGCAATAGCAGAAATGAGCAGACCACGAACAGCTGTATTATTATTTTCTAATGTAAATCTGCCATGAACTGAATCACAACCTAAATAAAAAGCATGATTTCTCTGTTATAGAAAGATTTCTGTAATAGCTGACGCTGATTTTTTTTCTTTTAAAATATAGAGGTAAGATTAACGCCATACAGTATATTACACGCCAGCTAGCATTGTTTAAATGCACTTGTATAAAAAATTAAACATTGTTTTCATAGTGATTCATTCGGGTTCCGTAAAAGCAGAATCTCGTTTGCAATGGCAATTTTTAAGTGGTGTAAAAAGGCAGGATCCACTCTTACTGTTAAAAACATCTTTCCTTCACACTTCTGCACTACAGACCAGAGACCGAAAACGTTGTGCTTCCTTATGCCCACTATCTTCCTAGCTGTACAGCTCGCGACATAAATCATTATACCATAGCAGTTTTATCTTATACGGTGATGGTGTGAGGGAGCTTATTAAATTCCTTTTGGTGTGATTGGGCACCATTTCACACACAATGTTCTCTGGCAGACTCACCTGAAAAAAGAACAGGCTGCCGCTATACAGCATGCCCTACAATCTGAAGCCTCTTCAGATAATCCATAGAAGATGGCACGTCTTTCGCCACAAATACATACATTTCCGTTCAATTAACAAAGGTAAAATGCCACCTATCGATGTTTTTTAAAGCAGAAATATAAAGGATTTTATTTATATCCCCTATCTATTACAGACTACATTTTTGACAAAAGTTATTGAATTTGAAAATAGTGTCCTCCTCTCATCAACACACAGCAGGAGTGTAACCAAAGACATTGCCCCTCACATGGCTTTTAAGGAAGGGGAAAGGACAGGAAACAGAGCTGTAGAAATACTGTACCACTTCATTTTAAAAACTGTAAGCTAGTATTATAACAATGTCCGGCCTGGAACCAAACCTTTTGATTTATTATCAGATTCATAAAAAGAGAGGCAGGTAAGTTTTAAAAAAAACTGAGCTTGAATCAATTAAATAAATTGGAATTTTAAAAATATTCTCACACTGAAACCTTTTGTCTTCCTCCCTGTCACCACAGGGCCAACCTTTTTAATATTCATTTTATCTGATCTCCCTGGACAGTCAAACTCCCTGTAACCTGTATCAAATATGAATGAAAGAATGAATCCATTCATTAGCTAATTACCTAATTAGAATATCTCAGCTCCTTTTCAAAGTCCTGTTTAGGGTCTCTTGCTGCTGAAGGTAAAGACATGAGAATAGATTTCCTTCATCTTAAATTTAGGAATGAAAAAAAAAGACTAAAACCCTGTCTATTATTAAATATATTTCTTAGATCTAAAGAGCAGAGTATAATCAGACCCAGTGTATCCCTGCGTCTGGTAATGTTGTAAAATTCCATATAGTTTTAGGCTGCCTGATCCTGCTATGTGTCTTTATATGCCATTAAAACAAATATATGTGCCATTGCTGACTTAATGCTCGAATCTCTCAGATATGAAATCAAATTCTAATGACCAACCTGTTCTCATTTTCACTATAAAATAAGAATAGTGCCATCTTTTCTGCTACTGTTAGAACATCAAGTGCATTACCTTTAGTCCTAGTACTGAACAAATTGCCTTAGTGAAGCCTGTTACAAGTTTTCCAACAGTTTCTTTTGAAAAGAGGAAACACAATCCAATCTGTGATACCAGAGACAAAATCACAAGAACCATTTATTTATCCGCTTCTGTTTCTTTGAGTGTTTTTCTCCTTTGTGCGTAAACACTGCAGATTGAAGGAAAAAGAAAAGGACATTTGTGCTGATACAGGCAGCAAAATCTCGGCGACTACTGCTCAGTAAATCACAACCCTGCGAAGGCAGCTATCATTTAAAGTGTTGTATGTTGTGGACTTCCTTAAGGGAATTAAAGAGCAGCTCACATTTTAAGCAACATTTTAACTGAAATGTCTTGACACACAACTGTATGCATCCTCTCCAGTAAAACATATTTCTGGAAGAAACACAAACAAAAACACGTTGAATGTGTACTAAGAAATTTTTGATAAGAAGAGGGAACACTTACAGTATCTTAAAGCCGTATGAGTACCAAGGGGTGACAATTTTTTGTCAGGTGCAAATATTCTTATATTTTTGACTGTAAAGAATCTGGTGTTTAACTGTGCTCTTCCTATGAGTGGAGATTTAGCTCCAGCTGTGAAAGGGGAAGAGACAGCAACAGCTGGCTGTCACTGTTGACAGACTGAACCACCAGGGTGGACGCTACTAGCCTCTGCTCTGCAGCCCTCTGCTTCAGCCCCGGACTTCCCCGCCTCAGTGCCATGCAGCAGTGCGCTCCAAGTTTGGATGCTCAGTCTGCTTTAAGGAGAAGCTGCCACCAGGATGAGTAACCATGACAGATCAAACGCCCCCTGTCTTGTGTAGATTTCATGCGGCAGGCAGGGGAATTTTCTCTGACTGTTTCCAGAACGGGTTTCCCAGTGTCTCCTGTTTTTTTTTTTTGGCCTTCCTTGGAGGTTCCACCCGGGCGTTAGGAAACCCCCCCCCAAAAAGAAAGAAACTCAGATCGAATAATTCCAAGCCACCACTCTTTTCCTCAGCTCCTCCTGGTCTTTAATCTTTTCTTCCCTTCAACCTGCTATGAGTGCGGAGAACGAAATTTCACCGGGACAAAATAATTACCCAGAGTTTATTTTAATTTTTCACGTCTGAGGATTCTTTCATTTGGTTTTTGGAAGGCTGTAAAACTTTTCTGTTCTGTCTCTGCTTGAAAATCCCTGACCAAAATCATTAGTTCCCTTATCCTTGCCAGCTTGTTTGATCTCAAACAGCTCTGGCAGTACGCAAAACATCTGGGCCCTTAAAAATGATACAGATCAATCCTGACTGTTACAGGGCCTCTTCCTCTCGGTCATCCATGCCATCCCCCCGACCCCAGGCCCTCTATGCAATACACTGAAGAGCTGCTCTTCCCAGATGGACCACTACGAGTCTTGTAAGAGATCCTCCGCCTCCTCCCAAACACGCTGTACTAACCACTATTGGACTGACAGATACGGAAGTGCTAGGACTTGCCCAAGGTCATACAGCAGAGAAGCAAACCCCAATGGGATTGAAACTGCACAAATCCCCCTCCCCCGGCTCTTTCTCTTTTTTTATGGACAGTTTAACCCATTGACAGGTGCGCCGACAAAGTATGCAAGCAAAGCATCGTAGACCTTCATTCCTAACAAACTGCTCACTCCTTTCACTCCAATTGAACTGACTGATTCTACCCAACTTCACCTGTGTCTCCCTCCCCCACCTCCAAGTCCCCCACCTCTCGTCTTACCAATAGTGACCTGCCCCCAGGCTGGCTGCTTGGGATTTCCCTGGGATAAAGCAGCGATCTCATCTCAGGTAAGGTGCTTTCAGTAGGGGCTAGTCCCAAGTGCTGTGGGTACCTCATCATCATCTTGTGGGATTGTGAAAGAGGCTCCTCGTTCACACACAGACAGAGACAGAGAAGGATGGATGGAATGGTAAAGCACAGGGAGAGAGAAAAGAAGGAGAGATCGAGACAGGGAGAGAGAGCGAACACACACATCCAGGCACGCAACCCTTGGAACGCATGCACACACACACACATGCGCGCGCGCGCGCTTGTTCACACACTCTGAGCCCCAGATGGACTATTCCTCATGCATCCTTGGCATTAACAGCCGCCTGCTCAGAAAGAATCACGAAAACCAGTCATCATACCAAAAACAGCCAACCCCTTGCCTCTCCACTCACTTCACCACGAGCAAGCAGGGGCAGAAAACGAAGTACCCCGTTCCCAACTTATTAACCTCCATCACCCAGCTGAGCAGCCCTGCCAGGATGTCTCTTTACAGCCTCTACCCCCCCCCAATATTTCCATAAATTTACCTCCCCCTCTGCACTTCCTGCTCCTGCCCTCCAAAAATCACACATACACACACACACCAAAAAGAAAGGACAGGCAGCCAATATTCCCCAAATCCTGGAATTAGAGAGCCTGAGAAAGAAAAATCAAATCCATTGCTTTACCTCATTGCTCAACAAGGCGGCATTCAGTGTTCGGCTGATCTCAAACATCTTGTTGCCAAGGCTTTTGTTTTCCTTTCTTTTTGCTGTCCCCCCCCCCTCTCTTTGTCTCTCTTGCAGAAATGGGAGGCAGTCCCACGGAACAAAAAAAAAGGACCAAAAAACTGAAATTAAAAAGAAAGATCCTTTATTGTTTTCTTGTGTTGTTTTTTTTTCCCCCCCTTTCGCCTTTGCACACCTCTGTCAGTTCTGGAGCTTGTGCCCGGGGTCTCGGCACACAACTGGAGAGTCAATATTTTTTCTTTATCTCCCCGGAGTCAGCACATTAAAACAAGCAGCCGGGCTCGTAGGACTGCTCCCTTATCTTTCCCCCGCACACTCTCACACACAATGTGCTCCGATCCTTACACAGCTCTCTGGCAGATTAGCTTGTCCCAAAACATAGCTCTTAGTTTAAACTCCCTCCCTCTCTCTCTCCTCTCTCTCTCTCCCTTTCTCATTCCTTCTCTCTCACTCTCTTTACCCGGCAGTTACAGTTCACTGTGTTACCACAAGGTGGGTAGTCTCTGCTAACTAATGACAGCCACGGCACATCTGTCTTGCTCTTCCTTCGTTTTGACTCTCCTTGCGCTTTACAGCAGGGCATGTGGCAAATCACACACATACGCATGCACACATGTTTCCAGGCTGAAATCAACTTGCTTTTATTAACCCAGCAAGCTTCTTATTTGTTACTGATACATGCATATTGGTCCTAGCGAGGAGTCTGCTGTGTCTGACTTAACTACCTACTGCTAGATAGACCCTCGAGTCACATGCGGGAGGGGTGTAATGCACATGGAGGGGTCTCAGTTGTCCTTTCCCGGCATTCATCTCTGGTTTCCACCACCAAGGACTGATGTCTGTGTGTGTAGGGGGGGTGAGTTGATTCATGAGATTACAGATTTTTTTAATGCAGTCTCACTGGTGGGGAGAAAGTGGAAACCTATTTGAATTTTGGTGGCTCCACTGAGTCACTAGGGGCTCACACATTGCCTTCTCATTTCACAGCGACCCTAGCCATCAAGGTCATCAAGGTCACACAGAAGCTGAAAAAATGACCTCAGAGTGTCAAAGCCCAGTGAATTACGATGGAGTACCTAGAGTAAGTATAACTTATGAGCTATGGAGGAAGAAGGCAAACAGAGAGGCTAGAAATGGAGAATAAACTGCAGTCCTCTTGGATGTAATATGAATGCAAGCTGCAATGATGCCTTTAGTGCTGACACTCCCAGACTGGAAAAGCTGGGAGGCAGGAGGAGGGGGGTGAAAACCAGCACCAAGTCCATTAATGAAAAGGAACACTGAAACATGAAACACCAAATTTCGATCCTTTCTTTTAAGAGAAACCCTTGTTTATCTGCAGGACATGGACACACGTTAGTTTATGTCACCCAGTCTTTATTTATTATTAAATTTATTGTTACATTTAAAAATGTAAGACTGCAAAGTTGCCATTGAGATGTGTAAGATCTTGGGGTGAGCAGTGGCTCTGTGGCTAAGGATTTGAGCCTGTGGCTGGAAGGTTATTGGTTCAAATCCCGCAGCTGACAGAGGAATCCTACTCTGTTGGGCTCCTGAGCAATGCCCTTATCCCCAACTGCTCCAGGGGCGCTGTACAATGGCTGACCCTGTGCTCTGACCTCAAGTTTCTCTCCCTGTCTGTGTCATGTGTCTCATGGAGAGCAAGCTGGGATATGTGAAAAGATGCATTCCTAATGCAAGAAATTGTATATGGCTAATAACGTTATGTGATGTGATCAACCCTCCAGTAAAAAAAATAGCTAAGGAAGCCCTTCTGGCTACATGGAGCCCAGGTAAAAGGTGAAGCAGAATTGTGATTCAGTATAGGGAAATTGAGCTTTGCCGGAAGAATAGGATAGGCATCAGGGCAATGCTAGTTTCCTCCTGGTTTTGAACCTGTTAGACAATGCCACAACCCCTCACTCAGCTCCATCTCACATCTACATTTTAGCTGCTAAACTGGGGGCTGTGAAGGGGTGGGGACGTTATAAATCATGACCCTATGAAGCCATAAGCAGCTTATTAATTTATTACATAAATAATCTCATTACAATATGGACTGTTTAAATAGGATATGTGACGCCATGCCATTAATTTTAAGCGTCTGAATCCCAATCATTCCATTAAAACTGCATAATCAAGCGTTTTATATGGTTACATTCATCCGCCCCGGTGACAAGCATCTAACATTAATAGATTAAAAAAAGGACCCTGTTATGGAATAAAGATAATGAACATATGCAATTATGAGGTCTCTTTGCTCATTAATTAAAAACTCCAACTGGCTCAAAGGGTTTCAGTTGCCTCTTAAATTTAATCTCATACTGCCCATAGTAGCTCTGGAAGCACCAAGATATAATGAAAGACTGCACAGGTTACACAAATAGGAGAAACCCATTTGTCTTTTATGAACGAATCTGAAAAGGTTAAACTTGTTACAGTGTCTATGGTGATGTCTTAAGTATTGACATCTTTTACTTTAGGCTGTCCGTTCATGGCTTTGTTATCAGAACATGACTGATGTTTCATTCTCCTCATCTGTTTGAAATGGTGCACAGCAACAATTAGCCTAAACTGCAAAGGCCACCTAAGAGCTTGACAATTCATCTCAGGCTTTGAGAAGTGACTGAAGGGAAACAAAACACTCTTTTCAGATTGTGAAAACCACATGGCTTTACTCCTAGTTTACAAAAGAATATAATCTATTATGGTTGCTGGGCTTTTCGACAACTTCTTAAACTACCTTGTGCCATGCTCTACCAGTTTCATAATAGAGAGCAAGATGAGTGGATCAGCAAAAGTAGTACTTAGTAGTCTCTCAGTGGTTCCACTACCATTAAGGTGGGTTGGTGCACTTCTAGTGTAGAAGCTGTTTTTTTTTTTAAATCATGAGATACTGTATAATTTACGCTGGAGCTCTGGGTTCAATTCCTGGGGTGCCTCCATATGGAGTTTATGTGTTTTCTCTGGCTGCTCTCATTTCCTTTCAGAATCCAACGGCATTGGAAAATTGGTTCTGGTGTGAGCATGTGCGTGTTTCTGTCTGACTGTGCTTTGCAGTGAACTGGTGTCCCTTCCAGGGTGTACCCTGTCTGGCACCCATTGTTTTCCAGGATAGACTAAGGCTTCCCCGTGACCCTGTCTTATATAAAGTAGTTAGAAAATGGATAGATGGATGTGCTCTCCAGTTAGCTCATTTAAGATGAGAGATTAAAGAGGGTCTATCGTAAGGCAGACACCTGATTCAAAGGAAACATAAGGGCTAGTATGTTGTATTCAAGTCATGGGAGTCCCTTTGTAACTTTATTGTTACAATCCTGGTGGAAATACACTGCTCTTGATGGTAGCGACAGCTCCTTTTGAGGTGGGTTTGGTGTCCCAGTTTAATGTGCATGACTGGCAAGCCTGTGCACAAAGGATCTCCCCACATTCCAAACTTTTCTAATTGTACCGACAGTTTGGATTCTTTAACAGCTCAAGGGCTGATTCAGTGTAATTTACTGCAGAGCCAGACTCGGAAAAACAGAATGACAACGAATAAAGGAATAGCCTCTTATTTTTACTGTATATCTCTCTCTCCTGCTTTTATGTGGGAGGTAAATAAAATTAATTCAGGCAGAAATGGCATTCCTTAAATTTACTGAACCCACTGTGTATATAGTGGAGATGACCTCAAGCAAATGCCAAAAAATCAATTTACATTTGGGGTTTGGGTTTTTTAAAACTAATGTGGAATTATTTTTAAATGCTTTTTATCACTTTTTCTTATTTTAAAAGTATTGTTACAGAATTTCTGATAGGAATTTAGAAATAGAGTACATAGATGCTTGTTGAGGCCACTTGTGTATACATTCAGCATTTCCATCAGCATCTATGAGTAGGTGTATAAATGACACTTTAAAGCCACTTTTTCACTCTGTCTTCCAGTATATAATTATATATAAATAGAATAAGCAGAAGTTTTATTTTTAAAACATAAGTACCAAATTGTAGAGAAGTGGAGAGTAGTGGTTACAGTCATGGACTCCTAACTGGAAGGCTGGGGGTTCAAATCCATTCTCAAGACATAGCCATTGTACGTTTGGGTAAGTTATTCTACCCCAATTTCTCCAGTGTACCCCGCTTAATTGGTAGTGGCACTGCTGGGGATAGCCATGCAAGGAACTGGTGGTCCTTTCAGAGGGGAGTCATGTACTCTTAGACCGCTTAATGCTCTGGAAACAGCAATAAGCTCAGAGTCAGATCTCAACAAATACAACAGGATGTGTGCAAGATGTGTGCAAGAGGACAACTGGATTTGGATCTGCCCAGGTAAGACACTCCACATACACTGAAGAATGCGTTAAGGTCACATAGGCATGAGGTTACTAGGGAACTAGTGTCACCTGTGTGAAGCCCATCTTCCTACAGTATATGTAGGGAGCTCTGATATTTACTGACATACAGTACCTGTCATACTATTGGAAAAAATGTTTTCCTCAGGGAAAACTAAAAACACATATTAAAACATGGTATTTCTCATGATCTCTAAGACAGAGAGATGACCCATATTAGAATAGTGTCTAAGTGATGAGTTTTTAACAATGTTTTTCTTTTCAAACACAACACAATACCATGAATCATACATTTAAAAATGGAGAAAGAAAAAATCATGCAAGCACAGAAAAGGGCTAAAGGGGACTAATCAAACCAGTTCTGAAGATGAGAAAAGGTATCTGACCATTCTAAAACAGTTTTGCATTAGCAATATATTTTTACCAAAAACAAATCTGTAATTGAGTGCAACTAAGCAGGAAGTAAAGTCATTTCAGTCTAGCCTTGTAAAATGGACTTTGGTTTTAGTTAGACCTGCACACGAAATTGTGTCTTGGAATTAGTAACTTAGGAGTTATCACGGAGAAGGTATAATCAAGCACAGTTACTGTACATCCAATAGCACATTCAGAAAAACCACAAACAGGAAGTACAGTACGGTACACAAAGTGTCTCTCCCTTTAGAAATAACTTTCTATCTGAGTTTATTTGTGTTAACAGGTAAAGACCCATTAGAATGTAGTAGTCTATTTTAAACTGAAATTACAGCTGATGTATAATCTTTATAAAAAGAGCCAAGTTGCAATACAAAATAGATTTCAGTCTTAAAGACCCAACCTAATCCCACACCACTAGCAACAACACTGGTGGAATTCTCTCTAAGATGGGAGATTTACACATTTGCATAGATGGAGCAGCAGCCTGTATGTAGTCCAGAAATTGATCAAAAGTGCATAAACATGTTAGTGGAAGATGACATGCAGAACTGGTTAAGCATCATTGAGAACCAAAATACAGTTCCCACAACAGAAAGAGCAAAAGAGAAGCATTTCCAATTCTTGTATTCAGCAAT